TCGGATTGGCATATTTGTTGACTCGAGGTAGATCTGCTGGCGCAGACCTTGAAGTCCCCTTCCTCTTTCCTTATTTACTGTTCATTTCATTCGAAACAGTAATATTTATTTCAGACTCTATTTGCAGAACTTCTAGTAGCTCATACACTTGTGACTAAGTCGAGTTGTCCAAGCTAGTGTTGTACCTAGTTTCTAGCATCTAAGTACCTATATACCCCTCTCCCCCTTTTGAATATTGTTTTGTATCAAGTGTGCTTTATGTTCATCTTCTTTCATGCATCCTCTTTGTACTTTGTGACATGTTAGCGAGAATCTATATAGCTAGCTTATATTCCAACAAGACCAAGTCCACTAATTAAAATCAAACTAAACTTGGCTGGGATCTAGCATACAACTTGGAGAAGAAAAGAAATATATGGGAATAGGAAGAACGATATACCGTTACAGTAAGTATTTCTCTTTTTGTTTCTATTTAGATGATGTAATTTGACTTGACACAAAATTTAAGAAGAAAAAAAAAGACTTTTAAAATATGTGGTCCTAAAAATTTAGGGTCAAAAGTTTTGTGGGTCATGATATTTTTGTGCCTATATAAAAACTTTTTATTAAGGGTAAAGTTTGTAAAATGAAAGTTTAAAATTAAATTGTTTTCAAATATAGAAATATGTTATTTTTTTTGTAACGGACTAATAAAGAAAGTATATCATTTAAATTGTAACGGAAGGAGTATTACTTATTATAAGCATATACGTCAATTTACAACAGCTGTGAACAAGTAGGCGGAAGTAAAGTGATGAAATCACTATTCCATTTTCTTGATTTCTTGTTCACGGTCTAACATTTCCCATTGTTGTTATTGTTCTACTCCTCTATCACCTTTAGAACCAGTTAATTTGCTGTGCTTGAAGAATTTTTGTTGTTAGCTAACTCCACGTCAGTTTCCTTGATACTTTCAGTCAGCTCCTCCAAAGGTTTATACTTATAAAACCAGACACATATCATGTAATATATGAGATTTAAAATCTGTACTCCAGTCACAAGCCAGTAATAATAATCCAATTTTCCCTTGTTGAGATTCCGGTCAGGTAGCCAGTTGTGCTCGTTACCGGTATAATTGTGAACTAAAGATACCATGAGAGTGCCTAAATAATTTCCAAAAGATGTTGTTAACGAGTTGAGTGCAGCTGCAGTACTTCTCATGCTCTCTGGAGATTGATCTGTTGGAATATATACCACAGCGGAAGCAATAATAGAATCTTATTCATGTGTAATCTAAACAATTAGCACATATGGAGATTTTAGGATTACCTCTTGAAGTGTAAACACAACAAATCTAGGTCGTTCTCCAGTTCCTCAGTTGAAAATACACTAGCAGATTTTCACAGTCTTCTACTGTGTTACCCAAACAATAACCGAAAATAGAGAATTTTGGGTGGGCAAAATTCTAGTAGAAACCGCAGTCAGAATCATGTAAAAAACGTCTAGCCCTTATATCCATATATATAGCTGCGTTTTTTAGGTCAAAACCGTTTTCAAAACCTGTTAGGTTTCCTTCTCCCACTAAGGGATGGTTTCCACGTTTTCTTTCCCACTAAGTAACAATTTCCACTATTTTCTATTATTTAGGCATAGTAGGGACCACAGAATTTAATTAACAAGGCTTCTTATTATGATATTAATTTCGAAATTCTGAAACTAATTTCCATCATAATAAATTACGAATTGTTCCACTAAAAATTCGTAATTGCACTCCTTTGTTCAATTTCGAAATTCTTCTATAAAACCTTATTTAACTCCCCCATGTTAAGATTCAGATACTAATCAATCAAATTAAATTACTGACTATTTAATTTATTGATTACTTCCTTTAGACTTACACTTAACTTATTTCATGTGTCGGATACAAAATCCACCGGCCGGGTTTACACATGAAAACTTATAAGCTTTCATAAAGGAGTATCATCAATCTCAAAATCGAGACATGGATTCCATCAACTAATTATTACTTCGCCAATGTATATCATTGTTATCCAATTTACCAGGCTTATTGACTCGCGAAAGAATCTCGCCTTTTAATAAATCAAAACAACAAGTGACATACACAGCTAATAATAATTATATCAGGATTAAGAGTATAAGTACATTAAATGGACTAGAGAAATTATTTTATAAAGTCAGTATAAAATACTCATCTCTACTTGAT